ATATAGGATTAGTAACAAAAACCACTACTTAAATTTCCACCTCCTACAGAAGAATATACAGTTGGTTTCAAGAGTTGTAATTACCATTTCTACCCTCTTAATACGAATTAACGCCCTTGAGAATGCAACTCGATAAAAATTAAAGGTGCATTTGTAATTCTAAAAATAACTTTTGTTTCATTAGACGAATATAAATTACCCTCTGCTTTAGCAATGGCCTTTCTATGGCCATCATCGGGTAGCAAGGACAAATTAACTAAATGTACACAAAGGAATTGTCCAGGCAGGACCTCCTAGTATATATGCTCATCAATTAAAAATGAAGTAATTTAATCTTTAAAAAAAAACCTACCTGTTGGCCACTGACATAGGCATTGTTCTCCTTTGCTTGAGGAGCCGCAATATCCTCATTGGACGTTGAAGTAGCAGCTGCTGTGGTTGACCCCGACGTGTAGTTCGGCATGGAAAGACCATACGTCCCAAAATTGCCAGGCACTCCAATTTGAATTGAGTTACTCATGTTTGATCCTTGCTTATATTGAGAAACCGAAGATTTGGCATTTGTCCCGGGTGCTGACTGATACAAACCAGCGCCGCCAGCCTGAGGCTGCTGAGGAAATGCACCGTTACTCATAAATTGATGAATGGCAGGTGGCGGAACATAGAATGGGGAGAAATAGGGCCCATATGGCATGTAGTTAGGAGGATAGTGGGGCAGATGAAGTCCAGTCGGATGGCGAAAAACTGGAAGGGGTTGCTGGGTTGCAGTCATAGTGCTCTGCATTATCCCAGCAGCTTGGGTAACAAGAGGTGTTTGAGACGCTGTAGACAGAACAAGAGGGACACTACCCTGCAACTAAAACAAATCCAATGAATTAGTGACAAAAGAATCCTCGACACTGGACGGTTAAGATGACAGCTCAGCGCAGGATCAGAATCACTTCAAGGGACACTGAAGTAATTATGAGTAGTGGAGGAACAATTTGGTAAATGTTCCAGACAATCAACTTTTCATTTTCTATCATCAGCCACACATTCGTCATTTGAAATTTCACTATTTGCTCACTTTTTACCTTTCAACTACCATTACTTTAATCATTATTTTTCATACTTTCTACCACTCAACTAATAGCATCACATTGTGTTTTTTCTATACCATACTATGATTGCCATAAAGCTTTTAATCTCATCTGATAACACTCTGAGTTTCAATTTTCTTTCAAAAGTTTATCCAAAACTTTTATCTAGCCCAATAAAAGAGGAATAAAGCCTGGAAACTTCTGGTAAGAAAATCACAGTGCTATTGAATTAAGTGCAACATGTCTCCTTAACTTCAGTAACAGCCCATCCTAATTGTAATTCCAATCAGGGTCTATTTGATATCCAAATTCAGGGACATGACACATAAATCGGGGAGGAAACCGGAAGAGAGAGATTGGAAGCGAACCTCTTGAGGAGTCTGAGAAGTCTGTGCAGATACCAAAGCAGCATTTCCCGTGTACTTGTTTGCAGGCCCAGCTGGTTGGAAAGGGGAAATGCGGCCATCACTATCCAAGCCAGGGCGATAAAATTGGGCAAAATAACTTGCTGGATCAAAAGATTGAGGCACCTGCACAGCACAACAAATAATGTAAAGATGATCTGACAACCACGACACACACAAATAGCATGTATTATGTAGGATTTAGCAAATAAAGGCTTCACATATCGTATGGGATAATGCAAGGGAAAATCTAAAAAAAAAATGACATACCACAAAGCCTGGCATTCGAGAAGCATCCCGTGCTTGAGATTCTGAAATTTCTGAAGGTGCAAGCTGGCCGCCCAATGTTGGTGGCATAAAACCAAAACTATAGTTTGAAGTATGGACCATAGGGTGTTGATAAATTCCTGGAGCACCCTCCGGCTTTGATTCACTATAATCAGGGTTAATGGACGACGATACTTCAACCTCATTCGTAGGGAAGTTTTCTGGTCCTTGTGAAGGTGATTGGGGCTGGTCAGGATACTTTACATCAGTATCCTTTACATCAGTATCCTCTGTAGCTACTGATGCATCTTGGTTGCTGTAACTAAACAGAAAGAATGATGTAATCTAAATAAAAAGATACCACGAAAAATGCAAATGTAATCAAAATAAAAAGATACCATGAAAAATACAAACGCAAAAATAATAAAATGTGCGATCATGGGACATGTTAAGTTCACTAAACTTTAAACCAGTGACATATCTAAGAACAACCAAAAATGGCACAAGTCAAGGTCAGCAATAAGTGCATTTTAAATGCTGTTTGACCTTTGACTGACCTCGCATATTTTATATGCATGCGTAAGTGATATTAGGACATGCACACAGATGTTTCAGATAAATATTGCATGGACGAGGTAAACATGAGGAAAAGGGAGCTCATGCTAAATCCCAAGAGGAAATGCTTCTTTTTAAAAAAAAAAAAACACTGAATAACGATTAGATATAGAAAACATGGAAAAAATATTGAAAGTTATATTTTTCTACGAAGCACACCTATCGTATAGCATACATGCGACCTCTACTAATTCATACAGGTAGGTTGAAGATTATATATCTTTCTCTCTTTTTGCCCCAGACAAGTACATGCTACACCTACACTATGGAAAAGAAGTGGAGAAAGAGGGTCTCAGATGAAAATAATACCCAAAACAGTTGGCAATAAAATATATACTTTGGCAGGACAGATATTGAAAGAAACTTATGGAGGAGAACAGCACCTCAACTGGAGCTCCTTCTCCGGTCCATCAACGGGATCAGAGGATTCTGACATTAGTGGATGCTTCTCACTACCAGAAACACCAGTCTGGTTTATGTCCAATCCAAAACTAGCATCGAAACTCCCGAAACAAAATCCAAGTTTTTCAACTTCAGGGACATGCAGGTGATCGGGAATAATCACATGCTGACTATCTGAAATATGTGTTCCTTCCAACTTCCTCTGCAGCTCCAAAGTGGCTGCTTTTGAAGTGAGAATGGGAGTTGTCTGTGGTTCAGAATGACTTTCACCAGATACCACAAGAGCCTCCGATGAACTACTAGTAGTGCCACCTTGACTGATATGGGGAATTGTGGATTTAGGTTTCCACTCCTTGCCAGGACCCACTGGTACAAAACAACAAAAGTTACTACATAACACGCATTTCAAATTCAACAAGAGAAAAGGTTTGCAATAACCATCGCCAACATCAGTGTCTTAGAAGGTGTCAATTTAATTCCTAATATGTTAATGTAGATGGATTACAAGAAGTAAACAACACAGCAGTTTTGCTAAATATTGGAAACAGGAGTTAGCTGAAAATAGAATCTACATGAAGTTAGAACGGATAATGTACCTGCCAGTATAGAAAAATTCTTCCGCAAATAATCAGTAAAATGCAATCAGCTAGAGAAGCTACAAAAAATATCATTTGTAACAACTGATAATGTTTGGAGTAGCCATAAAATCCATGGCGGATCGACCAGCACACAGTCGGACATTTGCTCATCAAGGCAACAAAGTTCGACTTATATGACAAAGCAAATCAAAGCAGTCAAACAATAGAACTGCCACATAAAGTTAGTTACAAACCTTTTTGCGGGCCAGTCACTTGAGACCTATTGTTGTAATTAGATGAAGGCCTACTGACAGCAGAGGATGCAGTCTGCATGGACCCCGAATGCTGATTCTTCTCAACTCCCTGGAATTCATTTGGCACCTTTTGCTCCAAAGTGGCAGTCCCAACCTCAAAAGCAGCTATTATAGATTACAAAAGAAGTGAATCCCATTAGCTGTTAGAGAAGCACTTCGAAATGAGAAATGAATACCCAATTAAAAAGCCGGTTAGCATACATATTTCAGCAGAAGCTGCTTTGCTCTCGGTAAGATTATCATCAAGCTGTTCAGTGGGGGAATCCTGAGTTCCCAATTCAGGTTGGATAGTGGTCACTGCACTGGGGAGTTTTAAGTCTTGAGAAGAAGACAATGGTACAATATCTAAAGAAGACAAATAAGATCCTGCAGCAGGTGGTGAAGGAACAGATAATGAGCTGTTGCTATCCAGAATTTGGTGCTGTTTTATATTCTTTGCCCCCAGATCATTGGTGTTCTTAACGGAACCAATAGTGATTGTACCCTCACCATGATTCTCGTGTATAACATTGGTACTCTGGGAGGTATTACCAGATGGACCATTGGATGCAACAGTAGCAGGGCTGCAAATATCAAAAGAATCTTTAGACAATGTCAGTGGTTGGGAGAGAGGTGTAAACCAATATAGACAGTCGGTGTATCCTAATAGTGTACAATTGATGAAATAAAATAGAGAGCAGAATGTAAATGCTCATAAAAAGCCCATCGCACCTTGCGAAGGAAGAAGTTTCATTCTTTCTCAAGTCTTGTGAAGTAGCCAAGGGGACCTTGCCGATACCCTTATCAGTAAGGTCACTGGCAGCATTTTCCTTTACAACAGCCACATTTCTTCCAACACCAGCATCTGATAAGTTATAGAACACAAAATGATAGAACGAATAGGAGTAAAAAAGATACAACGTCCAATGGAAGCAGTTTTCACAAGACAGTAGCCATTTTCATTTCATTTTAGAATGGCTTACTGGTGAGGCAGCTATTTATGAAAACATACTAAGTTTGACAAGCTTTGAATATAAAAGCCGTACTAGTAATCGTACATAAATGGTAATACAATGCCATTCAATTTTCCAAACTGTAGAAGATAGCTCACCTTGAGGCACATATCGTGATGGATGGTTCCCACGGCCCCTATTTGAACGAGCCTGCGGACCCGGCTTCCACTTTGACTCTGAAGGCTCCTTAGACATATTCTGAGAAGTATAGGCAGCATTCGAACCAGTCAAGACCTGCTTAAGGAGAATAATAAATGACTTAAAAAAAAGAAAATAAAAATAAACCTAGGAAGATAAGTAAAAATAAACCTACGAAGATAAGTAAAAATAAACCTAGGAAGATAAGAACATGAAATAAATTTTAAAATCAAACAATATTAATGATATGCAGCCATAAGATGCATGGAAGGATGCAGTAATATAATTGTAGTTATGTTCAAATTATCTTTATTATAGATGACGGAATCTTGAGGAGCACACAGATACTAGAGGCTAGAGGATACTGCGCTGAAGACAGAAGGCAGGGCAAAACACACATGAAATCAACATCAACATCAACATACCCAGTATATTCCCAAACAGGTTGGGGTCTGGGAGGTTGGGGTCTGGGGGGTCAGTTGTACGCAGACCTTACCCTTGTAATTATACAAGGAGGCTGTTTCCATAGCGACCCAAGGTGCGTTGCGTCGTTTGATATATTTTTTCTAGAAACTTCACTAATAGAAGAAGCACTAGAATTTAATTGAGCCATTTTAATCTAGTCCATTATTTGCACGATGCCAGAAGAATTGTCAACATTGACTCTTCCAGCTCCATTTGCAATGGACTCAAAAACACACATGAAATAATCTGCCATTTTGATAGTTAAATGAGTAAATAAGCACAATTTTAATCAGCTAATTAAAAGTCGATGCATGTCATGAGGATTGCACATGGCACAGCTAACGGATCATTACAAGTGGTTCTTAAAGTAGCCTTCTATGGTGATTCATTTCTTCTTCATACCTACGTTGCAGTCCAGTGTAGGGTTTCAGAACATATATAGATAGCAAACCAATTCAAATTCATACTTCAAACTAATATTCATTGTTAACACCTGAAGAATATACAAATATGAAATGATACTCCTATTCTGTACTGTAGGAAAGTGAAATAATTTATTAGTAAGGTATAGAAGACAGTGGATCCAAATGAAATTAGCAGTACCTCTTTTCTCCTATCACGTTTTCTTTTGACTTCATGGAATGTATCTGGATAAGACAAAAATACTTGTCAGCTTGCCATGCAGAAACAATCATACACAACATGATAAATAAGCCTAACATGAGAGACATCAATGCACACAAAGAACATATTGTTCCACACTTGTTAAAAATAATTACAACTATATCAAAGAATGACTAACAAGGGAGATAGATTATAAATCAGTCGAAATGTCTTGTGTTATTAGAGAACTACTGGGAAATCTTCCATGAAAAATCCAGCTATTACCTCCAGCCACCACCCTCAACTCCAAACCAAGCAAATAGATTGAAACACTGGTAAGTTTTAAACTCCCACTCAAATTTATATACAAACTATATCTCTATCAAACTAAATTTCTCCACAATACGCACACGGTTTATAAGATGCATAGAAATGGAACACTCAAGGCTGAAGGTGCAATTAAACCTAGCTCAGTGAGCTGCATAATAACAATTAATGCCACCCTTTTGATGACAAAGCAGCTTCTTAAGTAACAGAGAGAAATGCGCAGCAGTCTCAAGACTCCCTACTCATCACAAGTATACCAGCAGTTTAGAGCCATTGTTAATGAGTTCAAAAAGAAAAAGAAAAAAAAAAGTCACAGTAAACCACAACACACATCATTTGCACTACATTACCCC